CTATATGTTCATATTATCACTTAATTGATCATACTACTATGTACTTACCCAACTCACCTTCTTATTATTTATGTAACCTTTTCCTTTTCTTACTTAGTTCATATCATTTCTTATAAACTCACTTTTACCCTATTCTCATATTATTACTTAAGTTATCTCATATCATGTATTCACGTAGTTATATTTCATTTCTATATATATCTCAAAGATCTTATCTTTTATATTCATATAATTTATTATCATCTAATATGGTTTATATCATCATAACATAGCATATATTCACATCAACCATGTAATACATATATACAATAACATGTCAACACATATAATTCATACACACATATACTTCTATTTATGAATTCATGAATTTTATTATTGGAAATAGACTTGTTGCAAGTCTTATTTCCATTTAACATCATATACTACTAATATGCACTCACCTTGACCTCACTAAGTTTCAATCCACTTTTATGCTTTCCTTTCTTCCGATCGAATCTTAACTTGATAGTCGTTCTGTAACTTATTCGTGCTCGATATCTACATAATCATGTACTGATACTTATCATTATCCAATTGATATACTTTAATCTATCATTTCTTAGAACGAAAGAAAGATTTATTCCATTTCCCATTGAAGTGCATCGATACATTCTATAATGTATATATGTATCCTTTAACATGTGCATCGATGCACTACCCATGCATCGATGTACTACCCATGCATCGATACACCAATCACCTTCGATGTTTTCATTTTAAGGGGGTGCATCGATGCACTCCTTATGCATCGATGCACTAATTGTATTCAATGTTTCTTCTTTAAAGAGTGCATCAATACACATTGAATGTGCATCGATACTCCTTGCCCATAATTATATTTTAAGCACGAAAATGTCTTGTTTTGACCCTAAATTCTACTTATTAATCCCTCATTATACCTTAAAACTTATCTATACATATTTAAACCTTCTTATAATACTATAACACTTCACCATATCTCATAATTTACCATAATTCTTGAATCAAAGAATTTCATCAAATTTTCCATGTGTTCTAAATTCAATTCTATCACCTCTAACTTCTTAATTAACCCTTTGACAAGTCAAATCCATCTTTAGAACTTCAAAAACCTTTCTATAACAAAAGTTCATTTCTACACCCTTCATATAATTTCCTTTTTAATTCTCTATTCTTGATGTTTAAAGCTTATATAAGCTTTCCTTAAGCTTATATAATACTCAAAGAATCAAAATCAACTTATAAATCCAAGAATTAAACAGCTGAAATTAAACTCACATTTAACTGAGGCTTATGGGGAAAAGAAGAAGCTGAAGAAGAAGAAGACTCTAGATAGATTTCCTCATTTCCCACGTTTTTATATTCCTTAAAAAGAGAGAATAAAAATCTTCTCTTAGAAAAGACCATAATACCCTTGTTACTTTCCAGCTTTACTATTAAATCCATGAACTTTTAACTTATTTCAAAATCAATCACATAGTTTTCAAAATTTGCAATTTAGTCACTGACCCTGAATTTTGGGATGTTACAAATATGACATGTTAAATATGAATGTCCTCTTCTAAAGAAGAAGGGATCAAGTAAAAAGGAATGACTTTACACAATTTAGCTCGCTAAAACACTATATGTACAAGAGAAAAGGAAAAATAAGATTGAAGGAGTTTTCTCTTGGTATGGATTGCTTGGATAGGTGTTGTAACCTTCTCCAAGTGTCCTCAACTTGATTTTATATGTTGGAATGAGTTATTAGCTATTTCTAGTTGATGGGATGTTTTGGAGCCATTGGAAGCCTTAATTTTGATCATTAAATGCTCACATGCAACTATGGTATCGATATCGAGAAGTTGGTATTGAGACCGAGCATGAAAAAAATTCAAAAATATAGTCGTTGAGGCCTCAATATCGATCATGTTTGAAGGAGTATCAATACTCACATTCTAGTATCAATACCAACACCATGGTACTAGTACCAGAAAACCCTTCTAGAATTTTTGATTTCTAGACTGCCATGTTGGTCTCGAGACTGGCTAGGGTTTTTGGAAAATTCCAAGAGTTTTGAGCTTTAGAACAATGTTTAAAAGTTTGACAAAGTTTAGAAAACATCTAGAACATATTTTTCAAATTAATTTGGACTTTGAACTATTTTTGAATCATTTGAGCAAATTCAATTTAGTCCAAAAACATGTTGTCCTTATTTATTATATCAAAATATAGGTTCAACATGGTGGTCAAAATGAAAATGGGTTATAGTTAGGTGGTCACTGGTATAACTTACCCAATTTTTTAAATATTATTATAATTAATACATTTACATAATAATTACAATTATAATCAATCAATATAATATATAAATAAAATTATAATAATTATATCTATATAAATACAATTAGAATAAATCATTATATTATATAATTATACTAAAATATATCTGCAAGAATCAAATGACCTTAGTGATAAATAAATTGTTGTCATTCTTTGAGCTCTCGGGTTCGAGCATCAGGAGTGTTAGATGAATGAAAGTTCAATATTAAATGGTTGAAATTTATTTTTGAATTATACTACATTTGTTCTTACCCCATATTCATCAAAATAAAATTACTAATATATTTTTAAAATATATTAAACCGAAATGGCAACAATTTGATTTATTGGGATGAATATTTTAACATTTTATCTTTGTTACGGTCGCAACCTAAGATTCCATAATCAAATAGCTATAGAAAAAGAAAGAGTTAAGAGTCATTCTAGTCGTAGTTGCATATAAATTAAGGTCAAATTAGAATTTGTACAAAGTTGATTAGCAACCAAAAAAATCAAGTATAATTTATGATTGTTATCCAAAGTGTAATGATCAAAGATATTAATCATTTTGATTAAGATTTGTGGGGTGACCCAATGATCTCCTTCTTCCCACTTTATTTGTTTGACCTATTGAGGTTAGGCCACCCTATAAACTACAGTTTAGAGAATACTTGTGATTGCATGCTATTTTTCCTCCAATTTCTCTCTTACTTTATTATACCTTAAGGGTCCCAATTGGCACGCCAAGCTAAGCACTGATCATTTAACGTTCAAAATCTTGATCTAGTTATCGAGTGATGTTTCATTGATTGGCTAGAAAATGCATGCCATGAGAAAAATATGGAATAAAAAAGAGGGTTTCTCTGTTTGACCTAAATTTATGAGGAGGACCATCAATGGGAAGTGAGACAAAAGAAGCCGAAATGATCATTTTGTACCCATTTGTCTTGGCCTGCCCTGCACATGCCCATTTGAGGACTGATGAGTTCTTATCAATGTCCTCCAAATCGGTTACCAAACATATCGTTGGTACTAAGATGCGATTAATGATGAAAACAACACTACATCGTTAAAATTAAATTTGAATAAATTATCTTAAATTTTTTAATAATGTATCATCGTAATCTTATTATATAAAATTGTTATATTTTGAAGGTCACGTCTAAAAATATTACTTCTTCATCAGTTTATACTTTTGGATGGACTCATACGCTTATTGAAGTTGCCAAAGGGTTATATACTCTAATATTGAAGTTGTCAAAGAGTTTATACACTTTAAAACTTGTGTATCATATAATCCTTAGACTAACTTGCGTGTATAAACAAGACTTCTGACATGTTCACGTGATTTATCATAATAAAATTTAAATTTTAACAATTATATCTATTTAACTCATTAACCTACAAATGAACGTAATAAACTAATGTTTGACGCTATAAAATTAAAGTTATTATATCTTTCACCCTCAATATGGAGGACTTTAAATTTTTTATTCCGCACTCATATTTTCCATTATCTTTACATATTTTATAAGAAAGTGTAAACTATCAATGACGATAATAAAAATAATAGTCCGTTAATACATTTGAAATTAAGCAATAGATATGATAGTGAGAGCAACTTTTTATTCCCCAGGTTATAGTAAGAATATAATAATAATAATAAAATTGAAGATGACTTGTATTTTAGTACCGAAACTTTTATGATTTCCGAGGGGTTTTCCCATAATTATTTTTTATATAAATGAATGGTCAGATCAGATCACCACCCACAGTACCTTCTTTCTCACTGCAATAAACCCAGCTGTATTCATTTCCTTTATGACTTTGTTACCCTCCATGATTCCCAATATTTACTACAATCATCTTCTCAATTAACACTGAAAACCATAATATAAATAAATAGTTCAACTTACTAATATGTCCCTCGCTAGGACAAGAGATCAAAGTGGTCCAATGCCTGGTCAAAGTTCAAGGTTTAGGGATAATATAGTCATTTCCATCATTCCACAGATGCATGGAAAATTGTGCCCAAATAAACTTCTGTTCCATTTTCTTTTATTTTTTTTTTACTTCTCCAACAGAAACGGTATATATTAAATTTTATATAATATAGTGATCGATTAATCTAGATCAGGTATTACAGAGATGATGACAATCCTCCTAACCTAATTTACTCTATTCGTAAATATTAGGATTCGAACTTCTGATCTTACTTAAAAGGATCTAGTGTCTTATTCCACTAAATTAACGGATTGATGGTAAAACCTCTTTTATATTAATTACATTTAAATCCACCTCGTCATCTATATTATAATAATATATTCAGGCACACTGATTCAAATTATATTTATTTATATATTGAGATAAAAACAATATCGATTAAATTAAATTTTATTAAACATATATACAAATAAGTGGAAAATAAAAATAATTTACAAGTAATTTTATAATAGTACAAGTTAAGGTTAAAAAATATAGGAAAAATGGAATCTTAGCTGCCCCCATGTTCAAATGTGATTAACAATAAACGAATTTCAAAGCTCTTAAACAATTGAAAAAATAGTAGACCGTGTAAGCAGCAAACAACAAAACTTGCATATGAAATCTTTCTCTTTCCTTTAGATCTCAGAACACAACAAACCCAGAAATGAAAACAGCAAATCTGAAGAAAGCTATACTTTGATTCCCTCTAATTAATACTTAATATTAATCTCGATGGAAGTAACAGACGATTTAAGAGAACCCATAGCTCCTTTTATGGAGATTCAACTACTCTTACAAAAAAAAACTATTTATATACAGGTATATATATATATATATATATATATATAACTTGATATCTACTAGTATTTCTTCTTGATTGCTTGGATGCCATTGATGAACCAAAAACGAAGCAGCTAATTAACCCAGCAAAAAAGGGGGGAAAACCATCTCAAAGAAGAGGTCACGGATTTTCATTTTCTTAAGAATCAGCGTAGTCGCGCCAGCAAATAAGCATGGTAACGCAACGCCTCATGATGTAAAAACGAGCCCTCTGTTCTTTCACTAATCTGGCACACTTCCTGGTAAAAGCGCATCTTTTATTCGAAGAAGAAGCAGACGACTTCTTGATGATGAAAGAAGAAGAAGATGAAGAACGGCTTCTGGAGGATGAACTTTCTTTCTTCGAAAACTTCCATTTCTCGTCAAAGTAGAAACTTGGTGGTGCACTTGAACATGTTGCGAGACTCGAAGAAGCCATTGCTGAAAACCAGGCGACCTCTTTTGAGCTTACAGAAAAAGATCAATGGAGGTTTCTCTCGTTTTCTGGAATCTTTAGTACCCTTTTGGAAGCTGAAACACTGAAGTGAATTCTGGCATCTGGGAGTAATAAAGAGAGTAAAGGTGGATTCTTTTTTTGTTGGTGAGATAATGAGAGAGGAGTGAGGAAAATGGAGTATTTATAATAAAGTTAAACAAGATGAAAAAGGGGGGGGGGGGGGAAGGTAGAGCAGATGGGCGTCGCAGCCTGGGCCTGGATAGGCCTACTAAATAATATATTTCATGACGTATATAAAAAATGTAGGGTAAAGTGTACAAGAGGTGTTCATATCTAATCCGATCTAAAAAATAATTGAAAATTGATTCAAAAAATTGATAACCGAAAAAAATTGAAACTGATTTAGTATATTTGTTTTTTTTTAAAACCAATCGGTTCGATTCGATTTCGATTTGAAAATCTAAAACGATCCAAACCGATGATATGAAATATTAAATTTATAAACTTGAAACAAACTCAGTCCATAGCTAACTGGTAGAGCATTTGACTGCGATCAAGAGGTTACCGGTTTGAACGTTGTTGGGTCCTAGTTTTTAATTTTTTTTCCTTTTGCTTTCTTGATAATACAAACTCTCCATGGGAATTAACAAGGGTAGTTTCTAACCGATGAAATGATTGTGATTGGTGCAATGCAGGAGAGGCCAAAATGGATGAAAATAAGTTCCCTGGATGAACTGAAGACAAAAGTGGGGCATATAATAGTGATGATTCTTTTAGTGAAGATGTTTGAAAGGAGCAAGATGGTGGCTATAAACACAGGCACGGATCTGCTTACTTATTCTATCTGTATCTTCCTCTCTTCTGCTTCTCTGTACATCCTTCATCTTCTTCACAAACCTGAATAGTTTTTCTTCGAAAAAGTAGTAGATTGTTGATGCTATATTTCAAACACATGATTAACTCTTCTATTCGTGTTTTATATAATGATATTATGCATTATATATTTATTGATGTAAAATAATTAGATGTTCCTTTTCCAAACGGTCATACTGTTAAGGGACAAACTCATAAATTCATAAAATCTTGGAGATAAAAATAGATAATTAACAAAAATATATATATATATCTAAATTATACAAGAAACGAGTATCTGGACATCCCTCTGTTCAGCTTTCATTTGTCTGAAGTGTTCATATCCGACGTATAAGTTGTAAATATGAAAATGGTATTTATGAAAATGTATATTGTATATTATGTCTATTATGCATTAATATCAAATCTATTCGGTTTAGTCGAAAGCAATCTGAGCCATTGGGAAAGAACTGCTTTCGAGCCATTGGGAAATAACTCATTTACCAGGAACTCTGCTGCTCCATTACCAAATCCCCCGCCACCATGGAACTCACATGGTGCTGGCCATTATTACCAATGTAAGCTTCACAAGCTTGTATTTGTTAAAATATATATTATCTTTGATTTTGTTATACATATGCTATTTTTTATGAAAAAAATTAAAAAATTATTTTGAAAAATTAGAATAAAAAAACTGCATAAATCCAAACCGAATCAAATCACACTTAATTGGATTGGATCGGATCGAATCGGATTTTTTTTAGAAACATCCAAATCGATCCAAACCACAAACATTTATACTTTCGGATCATATGAATTTTTAGCCAAAAACCGATCCAAACCGATCACAAACACCCCTAAAGTGTACAATGATTTCTCTATTAAACCACTTTCGGTTAAGTGATTAGAGTTGGTTAAGTAGTTGATTGGTTGTAACAGACTTGAGCCATAGTCTTTAAATAGCTGCTCTACCAGTGTATATTCATCAGTTCTTTGAATAATAGCTCATTATCCTTTTTTCTTCGTTTGATCTTTGCTTCTTCCATAGTTAACATGGTATCAATCGCCTTTAGATCCTGAATAGGCTTTTGCTGTGCACAATCCTCTGTTTCTTGTTTTCTTGTTCTTGTCTCCTTTGGAAGAGCAGTCATGGTGCAAGGCTTGACGATGATGGCTGAGGATGAGCAACTGACAGAAGCTAGCTCTCACACCTTTGACAATAAAAGAGTCAATGTCTGTCTAACTGACTCAAACTACCTTCTTTGGAAACAACAAGTAATTCTCACAATCAGAGGTCTCGGACTCGAAAGCTTTCTTGATGGTTCCAGCAAAGCTATCGCTTAATGATGCTGACGAGCATGTTGTTAATCCAGCCTGTCTACGGTATGTCAAGCAAGATAGCTCATTGGCTTCTTTCCACTGTTAGCACCAACATACTTCCTCAATTGGTTGGTGCTGAATCTACAGCTGCTGTCTGGAATGCTATCACCAGACTGTATTCAACGTTGTCCACCATAAAAATAATGGCTTTACATTGTCGCCTTAGATCAATGAAGAAAGGCTCTCAATCTATGAGAGATTACACCATGGCCATTAAAGAAATTTGCGATCTTTTGGCCTCGTGTGGCAACCCTATCTCAGATATTGATCACATCGCCACCATTCTTAATAGTCTTCCAGTCGAGTATGAGTCAACAGTGGCTGCGATTACTGCGAGTAGAGAACTATTTGCTCTCGACAATGTGGTTTCAGTTCTCATTGATGCTGAGTCTCGCCTTGATGACTCCTCAAGATTTCCAATAGGGGTAAATTTCACACACTACAACTCTAATCAGGGCTCGGACACTCAACAATACAAGAATCGTGGGTCTCCTAAGTCTAACAACACGACTAGCAACAAGTATAAGGGGAGACCCAAACAGTAATGTCAACTATGTGGAAAGTTAGGCCATCTCGTTGACAGGTGCTGGCACAGGTTTGACCAGAATTTCAAAGGCGTGACTGCTCAGCAAAGCTCCTTGTCTAATACCATGCAGGCGAACGTGTGCTCATGTTTTCCTCATGGAACTGATTGTCATTACAGTTCTTTTATAAATACCAACACTGGAGATGAAGAAACAACTGACACTGAGCCGCATGACAATGCACAGGTCAATGCGTTACTAGCCAATGGTTCTTTGAGTCATGCTAAATGGTTTCCTGATTCAGGAGCCACTCACCATGTGACTGGCACTACCTCTGCACTCTCGAGCAAACAAGTCTACACTGGCAGTGGTAAGATTCATCTAGGAGATGGTTCTACCATTTCAATTGCACATACTGGTACAAAAATTTTAAAGACTAATTCCAGAGATCTCTTGCTTGATCACATTCTGCATGTTCCGAATATTAATAAAAATCTCTTGTCAGTTTCGAGATTTACTCAAGCTAATTCAGTTTTCCTTGAGTTTCACAAAAATACTTGTTATGTTAAGGATGAAAGCACAGGAATCGTACTGGTAGAAGGAAAGCTTGATGGAGGACTCTATAGCTTTGATTGTCAAACCCTGCAAGACACAGCAACACTCAACAACACTGTTGTAAAAAGTACTAATGAATAATGGTTGTGGCACAAAAGGTTGGGGCATCAAGCAGCTGAGGTAGTGATGACAATCCTCAACAAGAGACTAAATGTAGATAAGTGTGAAGTATGTGCAGCCTGTCAAATGGGAAAATGCAAAACTCAGCCGTTTCCTATGTCTCAAACTGTGTATAAACAGCCGTTTGAATTAGTAGAGGTTGATGCATGGGGCCCTGCTCCTATTGTCTCTAGTGGCTTCAGATATTTTGTGAGCTTTGTAGACTTGTATTCGAGAAACATTTGGGTTTATCTGTTAAAGAATAAAAGTGAGGTTGTTGTAGCCTTTGAAATATTTACTGCCTTGGTCTCAAATCAATTTAAAACAACCATTCTTGCCTTGCAAACTGACAATGGAGGTGAGTTTCGTTTTCTTGAAGCTGTTACACGTAAACTTGGTACTCAACTCAGGAAATCTTGCCCACATACCTCCCAGCAAAATGGGGTGGTGGAAAGAAAACACAGGTATATAGTTGAAACTGCCCTGACTCTGTTAGCACAAGCCTCAATGCCTCTAACGTTTTGGTCTCATGCAGTTCTTAGTGCAGTGTACCTTATCAATAGAATGCCTTCTAAATCTCTTGGCAATATTTCTCCTCATCAGAAGCTGTATGACAAGGTTCCTGATTACAGTCTTCTCAAGATCTTTGGCTGCCAATGCTTCCCCAACCTTAGAGTGTTCAATGTACACAAGTTGGATTTTCGGTCTAAGGCTTGCATTTTTCTAGGGTATTCACCAATGCATCAAGGTTATCAATGTATGGATGAGCATGGCAGGATCTATGTGTCCAGAAGTGTAGTGTTCAATGAACACATCTTTCCCTTTGCTATCAAAGCAGCAGCTCGTACGAAAGATGGTGATGAAGTTGTTCGTTCCAGGGTTGTACCAGTTGTTAGCAGTCCACACGAACATACCAGGATTGTGCCAAGGACAAATACTATTACCGACATCAGTACTGGTCAAGGAGTGGAAGCAAGCAGTGCCAGTCCATCTTCAGGAAATGAATTTCTCACACATTCTGAAGAGCATTCAGCGAATATTGAATCGAGCTCTACTGGTCATGAATCTTCTGCTGATGTCCTCTCTCAACAAGAACAATATGTCTCTGCTGAGCAAGATCATTCTATCTCTACTGAGCATGTTCAACGCTCAGGAACTGTACCAGCAACTCGAGTAAGCAATACTCATTCAATGATAACTCGTAGCAAGCATGGGATCGTTAAGCCAAAAATTTACTCAGTTCAGTGCAAATCAGTGCCTGGTGACATTCGAGCTGCTCTCGAAGATGATGACTGGAGGATTGCTGTAATGGCTGAATATAATGCACTTATCAGCAACAATACATGGGACATTGTAGAATTGCCAGCTGGTAGAAAAGCCATTGGCTGCAAATGGCTCTTCAAGGTAAAAAAGAATGTTGATGGCTCGGTCGAGAGATTGAAAGCTAGACAAGTTGCCAAGGGGTATTCTCAAATACCAGGCTATGACTTCATGGACACTTTTAGTCCAGTGGTTCGTTTTTTCACAGTAAATATACTAATCTCTCTGGCTGTCTCATGTCACTGGCAAATTAGACAGGTGGACGTCAACAATACCTTTCTAAAAGGCGATCTAAGCGAGGATGTATACATGGAGCATGTTCCTAGCTTTGAAGAACAGTCCAAT